GAGGGGGATTGCTGGGTTAGGGAACCCACCTCTTGTAGTAACGTTCCCTTTGCTCCTCAACTGGAAATGGTGACGAGAATTAAGGCTTGAGGGTTGGAGCCCCACAGTGAGAGTGGCTGGGAACTCCACCCTCTCGAAAGGGTGAGGAGTCAGCCTCTTGGGTTACACATGTGCCCCAGCTGGGCTCGGGCCCACCCTTCTCTCTCCTCAGTGTTTATTGCTGCTCAGCCCTGCCCAAGAAGAGCTGCCGAGTCAGCTTTCTCTGGCTGGGCCGGCTCTTGGGGCTGAGCTGCTCTGTATCTCTCACAGTATCCACCCCTTAGATAAACAGCCCACGTGTCCTCTGCACGCTGCGGAGTTCTGATGTGGCTACGAAGGGCGCCATTAGCCAGATGCCTCTCTGTCTAAGAAGGACCCTGGCAATGGGCCCTGCTTTTCTTCCAGCTGAGTCAGGCCCTTGCTGGAGTGACAGGGAAATCCACTTCCTGCCTGAAAAGGTGGCCGCAGCAGAACTGCAGGCTGGGCAGGGCCTTCCTGCCTCCCTGGCCATGCACCCGGGCCTGGGCAGGCCTCTGCATGAGGCAGCCCCCTCGACCTTTCCTGTGAAGGTTTTATCGCTCAAACCCAGCCCTGCAAACTGAGCACCACCCAGGCTACAGAACCCCTTTGCAGCCCGCCTCGCTTCCCAGGCCGGGGGGGGGGGGGGCATTTGGGCGGTGTATCCAGGGCCCGCTGAGACGTTTATCCCATCACCCGCCACTCTGCCCTGCTGCGTCTGCACCAAGACACTGAGCCACGTAGCTTCGAGAGCCCCGCATACTGAGTAAACTCAGTTGGGCCGCCTTTGCTTGGTTTGCTCTGAAGTCTGAGCCCGGGGATTTGCTTTCTTTGAAGGGTGACCTATAGGCAGAGAAAATGTCACCAGCGGCTGGTTAGCGGCATTTCCTTCTCCCATGGCCGGTGGGCCTTGGGAATGACGCGGAGGGCAGATGCTGAGGCTCTATGGGCTCAGCGCTGCTGGTTGGGATTAGGTGACAGGTGTGGCTGGACTCAGCCCCTGAGGGCTGGGGGTGGGGAGACAGGGAGAGGAGGGGTGCAGGCCAGCTGGGTACTCATGGCTCTGGAGAGGACCTGTTGACCCAGTACTCTCAGCAGATGGGCTTGTCTTGGCCTCAGAAGGGCCCAGACAAAGCCAGAGCGGGGGAAGAAGAAAATCTGTTACAGAAGGAGGAGGTGGGAGAGAGCCCAGCTGTAAAGCATCCTCCAACAGACCTTTTGAGGGAAAATTCAAATCTGTGGGGCTATCAGATGACCCCTGCCTTCCAGGAGACACGTGAACCCGTTGCAATTCAGACCGTTCTTCGGCAGGGAGGACCCAGGGAATGTGACCGTCACTGCCAGGACAGAGCTGTCCTCACCTACAGGAAGCCTTCCCTGACCTCCTCCTTCAGCAACTTCAGGATCCTGTGCATATGTGCCCGTCGTTCCCGGTCACTCCAGAACTTGCTTGTCAATCTCTAGCACCACAGCAAAACTTCACGAACTTCCTCATGAGGCCCAGGAAACTGCATTTTTAACTAACACCACCCCCCAAAGATGATTCTGGCATGTGCAGACTTGAGACTACATTTTGAGAACCATCTTGCCCTAGAACAGCCTCTCGAACAAAAATGTCATGTGAACCACATACATATTTTAAATTTTCTAGTACCCACTTAAAAATGTCAAAGAAAACAGGTGAAATTATTTTTAAAAGTATTTTTATTTAACCTGATAGATTCAAAATGTTATCATTTCAATATACAACCAATACAAAATTTGTTAATGAGATGTTTCACGTTTTTTTTCATACTGAGTCTTTGAGACCTGGTGCATACTTTACACTTACAACACATCTTAATTTGGACAGGCCACATTTCAAGTGCTCGACAGCCACGTATGGCTAGTGACTGTCACACAGACAAACAGCCCTAGAGCTGTGTGGTAAGTATGAGCCACGGGTCAGCAGTTCCAGCATTGCCTAGGAGCTTGGTGGAAATGCAGGTTCTCAGGCCCCTGTCTGGACCTACTGAATCAGAACCTACATTTTCACCTGTTGGCAGGTGCTTCAGAGGCACGTTGAAGGTGTGAAGCCCTGCTCTACAGCTACATCATGAATTCCTTGGTGTAAAGACTACGATTTAACTTACTTCTAGCATCTAATGGAGGGCCTGGCATCTAGAAGGCACACATAGCAAATGTTTTTAGAGGAAAGGGATGAATGTGTGAATCCTGCCTGCCCCTACTAACTCCTATTGGTCCCTCATTCCCTGTGTACTATTCGTGAGAATCTCAGAATCTGGGGTCTGAAGAACAATATAGGAGTTAGAACCTAACTTCTTCAAGCACCAACTTGGTTAAGTCCCACAGCTTGTTGGGCACGGCTGGCCACCCTCTTTTTGGACAAAAATGGTTGCTTTGTTTTGTTTTGTTTTAAGATTTTTAAAAATTTATTTGAGATAGGGAGAGAGAGACTGTGTGCACACGAGTGGGGGAGGGGCAGAGGCAGAGGGAGAAGCAGACTCCCCGCTAAGCAAGGAGCCCAATGCGGGGCTCAATCCCAGGACCCCGAGATCATGACCTGAGCCAAAGTCAGGTGCTTAACCAGCTGAGCCATGCAAGTGCCCTAGGACAAGGGCGGTTTGATGAGGGCAGACCACTCCACAGCAGGACACATTGCTGGGCCTGGCTTCCTTCTCAGACATCTCTGTACTCATCCTCAGAAATTCTATGGAGCCATTGCTCAGAGATCTTACGCCTGGCCCTACACATGTTAGTAAGCCATTGATTTATTCTCAGTCTTCTTCCAGAGAAGATTTAAGGTGCCTCTAAATGTGTGTACCTTCCAACAGAATGAAACACAAATGGGAAAAGGTGAAGACGGGAGTGCTATTCTGCATTGAATTTGTTTGAAAATGCATTAGTTAAAAAAAATATCCTAAGCACAAGTTCATAGTGTTATGGCCCAGTGGGTATATTTACATGAAGCAGGCAGTTGTTAAATGTTTGAGAGATGGACTTATAACATTAGGGTTTGAAAACTCATGAGCCAGCTTTTGTTAAATTTCAGTCTGTACTCAGGAAGTGAAAGTTAATAATGGTGCAGTCTCTGCCTTGTTTTGAATCGAGTCCGACAATGACCCGCCCTTCACGTGTGGGCTCTAAATAGCCTGTGCATGTTGGGTAATGATGGTGCAAGAGAGAACCCTAAAATCATGTGTTAGAGCGGGGTGGGTGGGTACGTGGATGGGAATGTGTGCAGGTGCACACACACCCGTGAAACCTAGTGCAGGACTACCTTTCACCACCTTCAATGCCAGCTAGCGCTTTGGTCCCAGCCTCCATCATAGGCTCCTACTTGGTCTCCCTGCTTCCACCCTCCGGCCCATTCATGATGCTGAAGCTAAGCCATCCTCCCCGTGATCTGGCCCACGTCTCGGATCTCACTGCCTGCCTCCCAGCCCTTGCTCACTCTGCTCCACAGCAGCTACCCCGGCCTTTTCAAGCTCTTCTTGCACTTCCCATTTCCCCTGCTGGAACATTCTCTGCCCTCCTTGAGGCTTGCTTCCCCACCTCCTGTGGTCTCTGCTGAATTGCCATTTGATTCCTAAGTCCTTTCTCAGCACGTTATACAAAGGAACAACCTCTGTTCTGCTCCAAAACCTTCCCCGACGTCGTTTTTCTTCATAGGTTTTATCAATACATATTTATGTGCTTACTGTTTGTCCCCCTCCACTAGAATGTAAACTCCCTGAAAGCAGGGACTTTGTTGCTTTTCTTTCTTTTTCTTTTTTTTTAAAGATTTTATTTATTTATGAGAGAGAGAGAGAGAGAGAGCGTGCATGAGCGGGGGCAGAGGCAGAGGGAGAAGCAGACTCCTCGCACAGCAAGGAGCCCGATGTGGGGCTTGGTCCCAGGACCCCGGGATCGTGACCTGAGCCGAAGGCAGACGCTTAACGACTGAACCACCCAGGCGCCCCTATCACTTTTCTTTACTGCCGTTTTCTTGGTGTTCACTGCTCCAAGTAGGTGCTCAATAAATATTTGAAGGAATGGACTTCAGATATCATGTGACTGGTCTTCCTCATTTGACCAAGGAGGTGCCAGAAGCCCTACAGAGAAAGCTCCCATGCCTTGCTCAGGGCTGCACAGCTGGGGCAGCAGGGCTAGATCCTGCCCCGTCCATTCTGCTCTTGCTTCCGCCTGTGCCTTGGAAGGGAGATTTAACCACACGCACGGGGGCCGTGGCCTCGTCCATCCTGTCTCCGGTGTGTTTTTCCAGCTTATACAGAATCTCAGCCCAGAATAGCAGAAGAAAAAAATAGTTGTTCCTCCAAAACCCTGGAAACTCTTCCGATGGGTCTGTCCCTGGAAAAACAGCAGCGATCTCAGGGTGGGAAGGTAGGAAATGGAGGAGGGGTCTTACAGCAGTGGGCGCCGTGGGCTGGGTTTGGTTTTACAATTAAAATAACATCTGGGTCTGTTTCTGCAGAGCGGTTCTGGAAGGTGGGTGGTCTGTCTGAAGTATCAGGTGGGGCCTTCCGCTGTCCTGGCCCAGGAGGGTCTGAGATGGCCAGTGGCTAATGGGCTTACCCAGCAGGTGACATGTGAAGGGAGGCGGGCCCAAAGAAAGTTCTGGAAACCCCACCTGCGGCCTGCCGGAAAGCCTGCTGGTCTCTCCCGAGGCCTCATGAGGGGGCCACTTCAGACACTCCCCCCTACCCCGTGCCTCCACGCCTCCTTGAGATTGTTCAGACACCCCTTTGATGAGTCCAGAGCTCTGACCTCCTCTCTCTCATGCCCCATGTGGTTTATTAATCATCTGTGAAATGAGGGGTTGAGGCGCCACTCATCCAGATCAGGGCAGTGGGGCCCTGAAGCAGTGGCATGGAGTGGAGAAGGGACTCTGAGGGCTGTTCCAGTCTTCTGAATCCTGTCCCTCTGTCTGTCTGGCTTCTCAGATGCAGCTTTTGGATAAGTTTCCCATTGAAGGTGGCCAGAAGGACCCCAAGCAGAGAATCATCCCCTTCCTTCCAGGTAAGCTTTGGAGGGCCCCACTATTGGGATGGGAGGCAACCTGGGGAGAAGCCTTTCTTAGGCCAAGAAAAGGCTGGCTGCTGGAAATTCTGGGCAGGGTGGGCCTACGAATCTACATCCTAACAACTCCCCAGAGGAGGGGAAGCCCCTGACTGTGAAGGCCACTGCCCCCACAGGGGCCTCTCCCACCATTCCCAGGCCACCTCTACTGGCCATGTAACTTCTAAGGAATTTCTTAGGTGCTGGGACTTAGGCTTCCTCTTTACGGAAAGCACAGAGAGATCAAGTTCTTCTGTGAAAGGATGAAGAACTCCAGGCTGAACTCTTCCCACTAACCCCATTGCAATCATAGACACCCTTAAATTGAGCACACTCCCCATGTCCGATTTTGGATCCTCCTGGCCCATTACTCAGCCGAGGCTCCGAGAGCTTACGTGACACAGCCTGTGAGTTTGCAGGGTTAGAATTTGAACCCAGGTGTGTCTGGCAATAAGGGCCATTAACCACTATGCCATTTGGGAACATGTTTACAGCAATTGGTTATGTGTAATTTAGAGAAAAACTGCCCAGATGTGTCCGAATCTGCTATTGCTATGATGTTTTAAATTGGTGTACAGTTTATAGTTTACAAAGTGCTTTTTTTGTTATCATATACAAATCTCCACGCTGAGGTGTGTATTCTAATTTCTGCTTGGGGGATGAAGATGTTGGAGTTCAGAGATGTCAGGTAACCACTCATAAAAGTGGCAGATCTGAGGTGTGAACTTCGGTCTTCTGCTCCAGTCTGGGCTCTTAGCCCCGAACCTGTGGGTGATGCTGCCTCCTGGCTTCGGATCCTCTGCCTTTCCCCAGGCCATGGAGCTGGGCCGGGTCACAGTGAGCCTCACCCCCGTTAGTGCTGGGCCCTGGCAATGGCAATCAGTGGGACCTTTGCAAGAAGCAGGGTCCTTGTCTCATTAACTCTCTGGCACACCTTCACCCCACGGTCAGCACCTGCTTGGTGACTTGCAAACCACAGAGGGGCCCTGCCTTCAGAGAGTGGGTCCTCTCTGAAAGGTGCTCCTCACACACCCCCATCTGCTGAAGTGGGGAGAGACAAGAGCATGCATTGCTGCCTGTTCTCTGAGTCTTATGCTAAAATTGGAGGGAATTAATTTAGCAACGAGGAAAAACTTCCATATACCACAGTGTGGGCAAGATTGGAACCAGTCAGTGAGGGTATAGAGAATCTCACCCCTGTTGCTTCTTCCATGAAGGCAGAGGACTGCTTCTCCATCCCTGGCCTAGGAGTTAATGTGGGGGGACTTTCATACCCTACCTGGCTTTGCACTGAGTCCCGAGGGAATCTGGAATGTCTAACACCCAGGTGTATATGACCTTCGATGTTGCTCCAGTATAGTCCAGATGCTCTGCCCAGCAAGGGCTTGGGAGCCCAGCTGGGATGCTGTGCACACAAGTGTCCCAGAGCCAACATGAAGCCAGCATGGTGCCCTGGTATCAGGAGTGGACTTGGCCTTGGGGGGCATGAAGGCTGCCTGTTTCCTCGAGAATGATGGGCTTTTTCTCCCACTGGTGGCCAGTGCTCCAGGGAAGTATCACCTTGTCATCATACAGACGGCAGGTATTTATGAGGGGCTCAGCCTGTGCCGGGCCCAGGACTCAGAACCTGGGGTTGGGGGCAGGGATGGCCCAGTGAGCCAAGGGGGGACGTAGATCTGTTTTCTTCATCTAAGGCATCCTCAAGCTACTAGGAGAGATGAGAGAGTCAAGACCTACTGCCTAATCAGGGAATCAGTGAAGGCAGGATGTGACCCTCTCTACCACAGTGCCATTCTGAGTGTGTTTGGAGTGTGTCACTGTGGGCTGAGGAAGGCAGCAAAGACCTCCTGAAGGAGGGGCGCCTGGAGCTGACCTCCAAGGAAGGGAGGGCTTGGACCGTGTGGGGGAAGCACACGGCTTCTGTCCCGCTGCTCCTAGAGCCCAGCGTCTGGGGGATCACGCTGCCTGGCTGCCCCGCTGCAAAGTCTGGCCTTTATCGAGTGCATTACCTTCTTTGTGCCCCAGTACTCTCGCCTGGAAAATAGGAGTGATAATAGTATCTACTTCGTGGGGCTGTTGTCGGGATAAAACGAATTAATACATCACGGGGGCTTAGAACTGTGGCTCGCCTCTAGCAGGACTTAAATAAATGTTAGCCCTCAAGGTGACCGATTCCTGACACGTGCCTAGTGTTTCGCACAGCACACTCACACGTGTACTCTCATTTGCTCCTCCCAGTGAGGTTATTATCCCCATTTTACTGGCTAGGAAACAGGCCAAGGGAGGCTAATAGACTTGCACGGGCCACACAGCCAGGAGGTATAACCAGCACCAGAACCTCTGGCCAGGGCTTCCCATGAGCCATCTCAGAGGTGGATACCCCTACAGCTGCTGCAGGACTGGGGCCCTCTCTGAACTTCAGCTTCCTCTTACAGGCTTGTGGTGAGGATGAAAAGAATTCACGGGAAGCACTTTGCATAGTGCCCGTCCCAGAGTTCAGTGCTCAGTGAATGGCAGTTTTAATCAAGTCACCTGCCCCCCATGCCGCCCCCAACTCCTGGGAAAGGCCAGCCCAGGACCCCCTCCGGCCCTGACGTGATGGGACCTGGGCACAGTGGGTGATACTATAGAGAGGAAGGAGGTTGACTGGCCCCCATCCCATCCAAAGGAAGTTTCCTTTCCCGTTTTGCTGTTTTTCTCCTCTGCCCGCAGGCGGGTTTCCTCTCTGATGCTTCTCTCTTGCTCACTCACTTTCTAGGACTTCAGAGTGGGTGCTGCTGGCCACGTGGAATCGCACCCTGGGGGCTCCCAGGCCTGTTCCTGGCTTCCCCCTGCCCCCTAGAAACTTCCTAACCCTTTCATACTTTACTCATTCCCTCGCTTGAACGGAAGGAAAATAGAAGCCAACAGGATCGGAACCAAGCTAGGGAGAGCCACGTGGGCATGAGGGTTCCCCAACCTGCCCCAAACCCGGGATTGCGGGGGATCCCCAGGAGGAGAGGGGAGGGGAGAAGGGCAGTGATGAATGTCTCCTATCTTAGGTCAGTTCCCTAAAAGAGCCTGGGATGAGGATTCTTACACGAGGGACTTGGGGGGCCGCTCTCGGGTGAACATCCTAAGGCAGTGAGAGAAGCAGGACAGACAGGGGAAGAAGCCCAGGGTGGACGGCACCAGGTTGTCCCATGGTAGGAGACACCTTCAGTACCCCCCATAGGCCATCCTTTGTCTGCAAGCCGCCCCTCCCCCAGAGGGCATGCAGTGTGGGCTGAAGGCTGAGGGCCTGCCTTTGGAGAAGGGGCAGCTGTGAGCCCCCAGCACCAAACACCCACAGCAGTGAGAGGTGGAAGCGTGTGCTGGTGAGGGGGTTCTGGGCCTCAGCCGACATCTACTGGGTTATCTAACCCCAGTGAAGTCTCTCTTCCTACCTGTCTGCCTCTGGGAAGGGTGGCTGAGGTCACCTGCCGATTCCCTCAGGCTCATCCCTGGCAGCGTGACTCAGCAGCACCTGAGTCAGCTGCCTTCGCTCTTAGAAGCTTCGGGAGGGCCAGCAACCGGCCTCAGAAACAGTTCTGCCAGCCCTTTGCCTTGCCTGGAATTTTGGAGCAAGGAACACCCACGTGGAGAAAGCAGAGAGCACCGATTATCTCCAGAAGGGTCTCAGTGTTAGCTTTAAAAGGTGCCAGGATGTGATGAGCCTTTCCGCATCCTGGCATCTGGGGCATGTGTTTGGAGTATTACCCAGCTGCTTTGCTTTGGCCTGCCTGGCCACAGGCTTGGGCAGGGGGCTCATAGACGTTTGACTGGCTGGTGGAAGTGACAGAGAAAAAGCAAAGGAATTGAGAAAAAAGAGGGAAACCAGGGCTTCATATGGTTCCAAGCTCCCTCATCTGCCAGTCAAATCCTGGCCAAAAAAAAAAAAAAAAAAAAAAAAAAAAACCCATATGTGAGCCATAAATCTTAGGATCTAGGACACAGGCTTGTGGTATGTCTGGGTGGTGTCTGGCCTGAGTTCAGGGTCAGCCTGCGGGTTGGAAGAGTGGTGAGGGTCTGGGGCTTCTGTGGCCAAAGGCAGAGGACCCATCCCAGAAGACTGAGGGTCCTGCAGGACGGCTGGAGTGGGGGTTGGGGCAAGGACAGCTGGGAGCAGGGTCAGCAAGGTGAGGACAGAGAGCCAGTGCAATGACCAGACCAGTGGTCTGACATTTGCATATCAGTCGAATCCTGGATGAGGTTTGTAGGAGAACTGTCCTCAGTGAGGGGCCCCCCAACCCAGTTGTTTCCCCAGGTCTTAACCTGCTTTCTGGGCCTAGGGGTGAAGATCCACTATGCCCAGGCCCATCCGTGTGTTTGTGAGTCCTGCAGAGCCCACAGGAGGGACACGGAGGAGTTATGACCTTCATGTGGGACAGGTGCTTCTCTCCAGCAAGGCAGCTCTGGAAGGAAAACCCAAGTGGTTTTTCAGGCAGGAAGAGGCAGAGAATTATGCCAGGGCCTGATGTCCCGGGCGTCGGGGGGAGGAGAGAAGGGGAAGGTACTCCCTCCTGTCTCACATTATGGGAGAGTGAGGCAGGTCCCCCCTGCTGTTTTTGCTGACCTTGGAGACAAGGCCCCTGTCTACTCCTCCCACATTTCTGTCACGGGGCTGGACACATAGTGGCTGCTTTATTAAGACCCCCTTGGTTGACCACGAATTGGGCATTCTCCCTTAGGTATGAGCTCCCTTTTTCTGAGCTCCTACTGTGTGTCTGGCTTTGTGCTGGACACTCTACGAACCTTTTCCCCAGTCCTCACTGCAGGGTGAGGGGCATTATCCCGTTTGAGAGAGAAGTCAAATCACTTTCCCCCACCCCTGAGTCAGTAAGTGGTGGAGCAGGTGGCCTTCCTCCACGGCCTGCACCTTTCCCTGGGCAGGGAGGAATTAACCCCCCGCCAGCCTCAGCTAGGAGCTTTCCTCCACCCAC